TCTTTCCCTCTAGCTGTCAAATCAGCAATGACACAGTTATTCCATCATGTTACACATTTCCGTTAATGACACTAGTTCCCTACAAAACATGTAGAAGCCCCCAGATCAGTGTCTTGTGGAGCCAAAGAAAATCCTTTTGTTCCCTGGCTTTAAAGTGCTCCTGAGACATTATCACATGACTGCAAACCGTCCTCAGCAACCTAATTATTGTAATTGCAGTAAACCATACCAGTTCTTTTTGTCTAAGTTTTGAGTCTACTATAAAACCCCCAAAGGAAAAACATTACCTGTTCTGTCATAAATATGTGTTTGCAATGATTTAGTCTGAGAAAGCTCTGCATATTGAAGTGACCTCTGCATTCTAGGTGTGGCTATCAAATGTAAATGGAGTAAGGGGAACACAACTTGGAGAACTGTAAAGGTGAACCACCTCTGTTGAAATTCCAGATACCAGCCAGGCTAAAAACCTTCTGGTGGGATAAATTTAGTCCACTTATTGGAAGTGGCGCTCTACCATGGAAGATTTCCCTCACCTGCAACTTCAGGAGTTCATGTGTTCGTTTCAGCTTGAAAAGTCTCACTTGCTCTGTTCTGCAAGCTTGAGGGCTTGAGAAGAGAACTCCGACACCTCGTGAGAGGCTGCAGCATCAGCTGCTGACTTGCGCCGGCGAAAAAGAATAGGAGAGGACCCAAGGACATCAAAGAGTAAAGCTCACTAACTAATGGAATGACAGAAACCCATTGTTAAGCTGGTGCTTTGACCTAAACTCATTGGAAGAATGTGTTATTTTCTGGAAGTACAGAGGATAAAGATGTATGGGCATCTCCATAAAAATAACGTTCTCCAGGAGTCCACCATGGTGTTGCCTACTTCAAGGGAGAAACTTATCTCAGTCCTCCCAAAGAACTTACAAATCCTACCAAAAAAAAAAAAAAAAAGGAAGGGGGAGCTGAAATACTATTTATGATTTTTTAAAAAATGCATCCCAAAGAAGGGCCAGATTCTAGCCACAGGTTGTACAGTACCTTACTCTTGGCCATATAGAGATAAATAGAAATTGAATCCAGGAAGAGAATAAGTTTTCTATTAACATTACAGGTGTCTTTGTGGATTCATATGTTTAAAGTGTCGTAGTGGTAGTAAATGGGTACTTTGAAAACTCAATCAACGTGCTGCTAAAGCTCTTTTTTTTTTTTTTTCCTTTGAGGAGTTTGCTTTTAAATATTCCTTTCTTAAAATTAAGAACAGTGCAGGAGTTGAAACTGTTAACTGAAATTAAGATAACCAATATGTTTCAGTCCTCTTTGGTAAATGAGATTGGCAAAGTAAACAAGAAAAGAATTTACTCATTTTAATTATTTGAGGAGCTCTTTGAAATTAAAGTGAGTAAACTTTGGCTTGCCGCAATCTTTATTACAAACAGGTTTTGTTCATTTGAAAACAAATGGCAATATTGTGCAATTTAAAGTGAAATCACTAACTTTTAATATTTATAAAATGCTAGTTGTTAGACATAAATCTTTTAGAAATGTGTAATGCATCTTTTTATTTTTAACTGTTTAATAAAGAATGATAATATTACCATCAACTGATTAACTATCATCCATCTGCATATCAAACACCTTTTTTAATTACTAATGTTATCATCTACTGTGTGTACACAGAAAAGAGGCTTGCGTTACATTTTGGTACTGCTAATTTACCCTGTAACTTTGTGGACAGTTTCAAAACACATAGATGAAGCTTTCCTGGTTGATGCTGCTGCTACACAGACTATTATTTTCCTCCCCTGACACCTAGCATTCTCCAGGAGTGCAGCCAGCTGACCTTGAGGAGGTTGTCAAGAAGGGTGTTAAAACTCTGGTGATTGGTCGTGGCATGAGTGAGGCTTTGCAGGTAGGTTTTTGTTGTGTGATAACCATAAACTAGATCTGGTTGTTTTCCCTCTCCCTCTGACTGGGGAGGCAGGGAATAAAAGTCTATGATGCTTTACTAAGAGGGGGGAAAAAATTCAGGATGCTGAATTAGAGTGACTGAGCTCCTGCCAAGAGTCACTCTCTTCCTGAAAGAAACATCATTTGAGCTCCTTCATATTAGCATCAATGCCAAGCAGTATACAGGTTTACATTCTGCTACAGGAGCAATTTAAACAAGGAGAATTTTTTACAGTGTCATTAGTCGTCCCCCCCCTTAAAATAGGTTATGAACCAGCTCTCTAGCCTGCTGTAAATACTTTGATAATTAGACATTTTTGTCACTAATGTTGGCAGGGTGTCATTTCAGCAGGTAAACTAGCTACAGAGGGCTCAGAAGTGCTGAGCTTTACTTCATGGGAAGCAATTCTTTAGCTTTTTGTTGAGGTGAGTAACACCTTATTTAGGTTAATTACCATTACCTCCAGTTCTATTCATTTTTGTAAGAAAGGGCTGTATTTTAAACCGTTGGAGAGATGGGAGGCATGTATATAAAAGTAGCTTTATTGAAGAGAAAGAAATGTAAATCAATCTTAGAAATATCTGAGCGCATTCTCATTTGGCTACTATCAGTTACTAGTAACAAATGGCATCAGTATGTGTTTTCCTTCAAGCCTTGCAGTCTGAGGGGAAAAGAACCTAATGCTTGCTCTTCCTATTTCCTTTTCTCTTCCAAGGTTCCACAGTCTACTGTGGACTATCTGAGGAAGAACGGGATTGATGTGTTGGTCTTGCAAACAGAGAAGGCTGTGGAAGAGTACAATGCTCTGGCTGCTCAGGGTGTCAAAGTGGGGGGAGTCTTCCATTCAACCTGCTGAAGCGTTGCAGCTCATTCCGCCTCTCTTGACCGCAGCCAAATCACGGACACACCTCTCTGCTGAATCAAATTACAGTCAACAGAGTGTGGACTTGCGTGCCAAGGCATTTGCGTGCCAACAGCCTAAAATGCAAGGACAGTTTTTTTCAGGATTTAAACAAATTGAGTGTTTACAATAGGGGGCTGTTAATGAAATCATATGTTCTTGAGATTGGCCTAATCTTCCTCTGAAGACTGTCCGTATTCTGGTTACTTAACTTTTCACCTGTTGGCTAAATTAAGATACTGGCTTTTGAATACTTTTATTAGGAAATGGCCTGAAATTACATTATTTGCTATTGGAATGCAGCCATAAGGTAGCTCATGAGTACAATCAAGTGGTAGATACAAAGCGGTGGTAAAGCAGCACTTTACCACCACTCTATAAATAAGTTAAAAATAAAAAAAATATATAAATAAAAATAAAATAAATGAAAAGGCAAACTCAGAACATACAACTTTTGCCTCCTACTGGTAACTTCAGTCAGGTTATTGGCTATGCAGCTCTGTTTGTGATGATTCAAGAATATCACATAATTTAGCACTTTTAAATTTTACAATGAACCTGGGAAAAAAGCAAAAAAAAAAAAACTTACAGGGAATAAACATAAAATCTGGCCCTTAAAGAATTTTTCTACTAATTGTGAACTGTGAGGCTTGAGTTATGCAATACATATCAATCCCAAAGTCCCTGCGTGCTTAAAATCATCAGACCTATTTGTCACAAAACTAGAGTTTGCAATGTGAAATGTTGATCTTTAGGAAATCGGTCTAAATTGCTGCTAGCAAGCTGGGGATGGATGTGAGAATTCTCACTTGTCATCATTATCTGATGATTAGAACGTTGTGTCAACAAACCTATTATTACACTGAAAACTTAAAAATTAGTTGCTGTTCTTGGTGGTCTTCCATCAATATTACCAGTTACAAGTTACCTACTGTAGATTTTCTTTTTCCCCACTAGCCTTGCCAATTCTTGATCTGTGCATATTAAGTCTGTGTCTATTAATGAAAGCACAAAGACGATGCTGCTGAAAGCCCCAAGGCACTCAGAGCTATCCCAGTAGTAGCAGAGAGGCTTAGATTGGTATGAGCACACACTGACTTTCCCAAGACCCAAGAATAACCCTTCACAAAATACTATGTTCTTTTTCTGTTTATTTATTTGCTCTAGTAATGGTTCAAAACCTTTTATCTGATAAAACACAATATGGTGTAAAAGCAAAGGCAAAGTGACTACTTGAAAGTTTTTATCTTGAAATCTCCTAATTACAGCAGTATTTTCTATTTGTGTAGCTAGATTTGAGGCAACGTCTTATCTAAACCAGCAAGAACTGCCTTTCCAGCTGCATTAGTGTACTCTGACCCAGCAGCCGGTATAACGCTCATCAAAACTGCTATGACATTGTTCCAAATAACTTCTGTGGTGTCAAGTAGAAGGTGAACCACTGACCCAGAAGACTGTAGTCATCCCAAGACAATGCCAGTAGAACCGGTTCCTACCAATCCGCAGAGTATGAAGACTTTTTGTACTAAAGTGGTGTTATCTTACAGCAGAGGTGGTTTGACGCTCTTGATTGCAGTCAGATATATTTGCATTATTTCATGACCTTTTAGGCCTTAAGGCAGTCTTAAATATGAAGAGGCTTTTTAAGGCTTTTACTGAGAGGACAATTCCAGTTTTTTAAGTACTGCTGGTAGGGCAAGTTGAGCAAACACCTAACCTTTCACCTCCAGTTTTTTGTGTTTTGTTTTTTTTAATAATAATTTCATATTAATTTGGTACAATCATTAATGATAAAGTCACATTCAACAAAACTGCTTAGCCCCAGGTCCTGCATTTAAGGAAAACCAGGGTGGGCTCCTCACACTGGTGTGATGTGTTTTGTCCTCTCAAAAGGTGCAAGAAGAGCACAGCCCGGTTAGCATTGCCAGGTGACTTTGAGCAGTGACCCAGCTTTGTGCTGCGGCCGCTTGATTGTTCCTTTCATTTGGCAACCAGTAGGATGCAGAAGATTCCAAAACAGGGAGGTGCAGTGTGCAAAGTAAACAGATTTCCCTTTTTAAAGGTAAACCGCTACATTTTACTGCCATCAGTACAAAATTTCAGTGTCAACAAGGAGATAATCTTCTTGCAAGTCTTTTCCACCCATATTGTCTATCACTGCTCTCGTCACAGCTTCCTGAGTCAGCTTTGTCAGCTGCCACAAAAGCGTCTGCTCCAGTCACTGAAAGCCCAATTTCCTTCTTGGTGCCTGAAATCGCTTTGCTACATGGTGGAAACAGCTGGGATTGATTGATCAAAAAATTCAAACAGAGCTCAAAACGGTATCTTTATTAAATTACTGCTTTCAGCTAAAGACATAAATAATTTGTTAAAATTACAGGCTCATCGCCCAAATCATGGGAATGCGCTTTTAGAGGGCAGGATTTCTGACATACACCAGCTCTCTGCCTCCCACCAGGAAAACGATCTCCCGGTAGGCAGTGAACTCTCATTAAAGCAGAGCAGCGGCCGGGTTGTGTGCCAGGAAGATTCCACCCCAGCTGCTCCGCCGACCAGCCCGTCGATCCCCAGCCCTTATCTTTGCAAAACAGCACGCCTGAGCTGGCAGCCAGGAGAAACGGGCCATAAAAAGGCTCACAGACACACCAAACGCAACACAACTGCCATTTTTAATGGTCATTGGGCAGCATTTGCGCAAAACCCCACAGCCATGAGCCTTCAAACTTTATCTTGAAGTCTCAGTAATATTGCATTAGCAAATGGTAAAGAGAAAGCCTGCTCCCATGTCCCTAGTGCCTGCTACAAAGAATAAACTGGAAGATGCAAGTGAACGAAGGTGAAAATAATGATTGTATCTCTGACTTGGTCAAAAGATTTGAGAACTCAGATGAGCAAGACAGGAATCCAGAGGAAACCCATCTTCGTGAGCTGGAACCCAAGATGATGTCGTATGGTCCTGATTTAAATGCACACCCTGTTCCTTCATCTTCCCAAGAACTTGCTTTGTACTTTTTGCAGTGACTGTACCCACCCACTTAGTTTTTCTGTACTTTTAAAAATAAGATACATGAAAGCCACACCAGGTTTGAGTTAATATTTCATAAGCTTCAACTTTGTTCCAAAGAAAATTATGCACTTGATAATTGTGTTGTTTACTCACAAAGTTCTAAGAACTGGCCTAATGAATTTCAGTGGACTTCAGCAATCTGATTATGAATTTCCCACTAAAAGCATTCAGAGCTAGGCTTCCTCCCCCCCGATGCCATATATAAATAAATCTGAAAAGTTAACAGTGAACATGACAACGCATTTTCAAACAACTTAGCTATACCTCTTTCATGTGAATTCACCCTTCTCCTCTCTGCCAGATTCTTGACCCTTTTATGTCTAACTAGGAGCTAAAATATGGTGGTGAGGGGTTAGTAAATTATTTGCCCTTGCTTCTAGATTGCTCAGTCTCCCTGTAGCTGCAGCTCCGTACTGGCACCATGTTCCTACACTTGCAAACACCTGAGAGAAGCGAACCTCCCCGTACTTGGGTGATGGTTGTGATCTGAAGTCCTCTTTTCCCTCTTCCAGGGATGAAAGATGCAAATTATCCTCATGCATGAGTACAGCCCTTTGTTTTTCTTTCTGTTCTGAGATCAGTCACCTTTTAGGCTGTTGCAGTGCAGAAGTTCAACACTTATCCAAAAGTAAAAGACAACTGGTGAACGGGTAGAGATGCTTCTGAGATAACACAAAGTCCTGGTGCTCCACAGAACTCCAGTATTTTTGAGAGCAGAAAAGCCTGAATGTCTCAAACCTGGGGGTGGGAGGAACATACCAACATCTAGATTTAAACAACTACAACAAAATCTCAGAATACTTACCTGTTATACAAATTGCCTTTCAGATTTCCCGTATGTTGGAACATGGTGTGAAAATGTATTTAAAAGAGCCAGTAAACTAAAATAAATTGGAGATTGAGTTAAGCAGTTTGAAAAAAAAACCAAAAACAAAACCCACAACAACCCACAACCAAAAAATAACAAAACAAAAGCAAGCATATATTCAATAAGAAGGGAAAGGGTAGAGAACAACAGCAGGAGAGTGTAGTGTACAGAAAGACCTGCTACAACATAACAGTTACAAGCGATGTTTTACCAGGGTCCATTGCAATAGGACAAGGAGTAACGGTTTTAAACTAAAAGAGGGCGAATTTAGACTAGATCTAAGGCAGAAATTTTTTATGATGAGGTTGGTGAAACCCTGGCCTGGGTTGCCCAGAGAGGTGGTAGATGCCCCATCCCTGGGAACATCCCAGGTCAGGTTGGACAGGGCTCTGAGCAACCTGCTCTAGTTGGGGATGTCCCTGCTCATGGCAGGGGGGTTGGACTAGGTGGCCTTGAAAGGTCCCTTCCAACCCAAAGATTCTATGATTCTGTGTTTATAAGGCTGCTTACCCACATAGTGGGGAAATCAAAGGTAAATTTGAATCTTGGAGAGTACAGTATTAAAGAAACAGCATTTGACTGAATTTTAAGGTCAAAGTTACAGAACACCCTTTTTTTCAGTTCAGCTAAAATGATGCTGAATTAGTTACCACCTTGATTAGATGAAACCTGAGAAGAAAAGGAGAACCTACAATTTCTGCCATTATTTAAACTAGGAATCGGAGAACAAACTACAGGACGCTATCAAGAAGAGAAGCCAACTATAGAATACTCTCATTTGGAGTTTGGAAACGTTCATAGCAGTCTTAAATTTTCAAGTGGTTTTTGGCATCTTGAAATTACAGATGAAGAACTGTCCTATAGCCCTGCAGTATTTGATTCTCAGTTGGTGGCAATACAGAAGGCGAGTGATCTTTGCCTAGTATGTTATACAAAATGAGCTCAGGCACAGCATGAGGAGAGCAAAATAGTAGAAATTTGTTCCAGTGCTCAGCAAAAGAAAGATTTTGATACTGAAAG